TACTTCCAGGGTGGTCAGAGTCTTCAGTCCACACTGATCTAGGGTAGCCTCATCCTCTAGGGGCATGCCTGCCAGAAGTACGACTTGATCTTCTGAAGCGATGCCCTCCAGAGAGGCTACATGAGCCTTGATCTGAGCAACCGTCTGTCTCCTGTCTGGTGACCTTGAGGTGAATAGCTCCCAGGCACAGACAAAGAGCTGCATGTCTGTGACTGAACAGCCAGGGACATTTTTATCTCCTGTGATCCTCTGTGCCTCTTGGAAGGCTTCTATTGGAGAGGTTTAGTCATGTTCACATCTACTGGGCTATCTTTGCAGAAACTGGATGTAAGAAAGCTTGACCCTGACTTTCCTCTTAGTGTAGCAGTGGGATAAAGGAGTGGCCTCCTTCCTGGGATGTAATCACTTTTGATCTTTGTGGGGTTGGTATGAATATAGCTATGCTGCCAATTGGGGCTCGGACCCCTGTGGATGCAGTGCAGAAGAACATATGGCCCTGCCAGATAATCATAGCTAGCTAACCAACACTTTCTGTAGGTTTAGTTTACAAGCAGTGCCTGGCACTTAATAGGTCTAAATGTTGAAAGAATAATCGTTCTATATACCTCAGATACCTCACAAAGCTCTAAGGGGTAGGAATTATCTCCGTGTTTTGGTGAGGGATATAAAGTTTGGAAAGAGATTCACCCAATTTATCCAAGATCACATAGTAAGTGGTGGAGCCAGGATGGGAATCTAAATTTGTTTGACTCCAAATCTGTCTCTGTAGCCTTGGAAACTTGTGGACACTATCGTAGTCCAAGGTTTTGAGTAGCTGGAGAGTAGCAATTTTGGATTAGTGTCTCTGTTATCTTCTTTCTGTTCCTATTTGGCAGCCTGTATAAAACCTGTATTAAAAGTTAAAGTCCTGGTCCTGGGAGTCAGTAGACCTACCTGTCATACCCCTTTAATGGAATTTTCTGTAGTACTGGGCAAATCAGCATGTCTGATGAGCCTCTGTTATCTGTAAAGTGGGAATATGGTAATTGCTTTCTCTGATATGCAATGGTGGTGATATAAAGATAAATTAGAAAGTGATTTTTAGGGGTGCCTGGCTGGCTCAGTGGAGCATGCAACTCTTTACCTCAGGGTTGTGAGTCTGAACCCCATGTTGGGTGTGGAGTCTACTTAAAAAATGATTTGTAAACTGCAAAACACTCTAAATAAAAGGATAATTCTTTGGCAAATCAGTGATTGTGCTTTAGGGTAAAATTTTCATAATGACTCTTAACCTTTCGCTTTCAGTCATTCATTCAGCAACAAATATCAATGGGGCCTTTTATTCTGCACTGGACATTATTTTAGTTTGTGGGGATACAAACATGAGGGAAAAAAGCCAAACCCTATCCTCAAAAAGCTTATTTAATGGAAAAGAAAACAAAGGTGATATATTGTTACCAATACCATACTGGAGTGTGAAGAAGCTACCCTGGGATCCTTAATGTGGAGCCTTAATGCCTAGGTAAGTCAGGGGAGAATTTTGCAGTAAATGGGACCTAGAGGAAGAGGAGTTTGTCCAGAAAAAAAGAGGGTAGAATATAAGGGAGTAGGGAAAGGAGGAAGGCGGAAAAGCTATTTATTTTCAGAAACCATGGATAGTTTGCTTTGGTTAAGTGTACAGGGCCAGGAAAAGTGTGGTAGGAGATACAGTAAAGAGACCCAAGCTCAGATCGGGTTTGGAAGAGCTTTGTTGTGTTAAGAAGTTGACAGTATCTCTCAATAGAGACCACTGAAAGAGAGCAGGGAAGTGACATCATCAGTTATCTGGGTGAGAAAGCTCACCATGAAGGCTGGGAGACCAGGCAAAGGAAATAAATGCCTGAACTAGGGCATTAGAAATGGGGAAGGGCAGGAGAAAGATTTTTTTAAAGATAGTCAATAGGACTTGAATTTGATCCAAATACCAAGAGGACCTGGTGTCTGATTACAGGTAGTATGTGGATGGGAAGGAATGGAGTATTAATCCCAGATTTTCACCTTGGGTGCTATTCATGGGTAAAGAACACAGGGGCACTTGGGTGGCTCAGTCAGTTAAGCTTCCAACTTCGGCTCAGGTCATGATCTCATGGTTTGTGAGTCTGAGCCCTGCATCGGGCTCTCTGCTGTCATCACAGAGCCTGCTTTGGATCCTCTGTCCCCCCCAGCCCCCCTATGCTCTTTGTCTCTTTCTCTCAAAAATAAAGTTGGGACGCCTGGGTGTCTTGGTTAAGCATCCGACTTCGGCTCAGATCATGATCTCGCCGTTCGTGGGTTTGAGCCCTGCGTCAGGCTTTGTGCTGATAGCTCAGAGCCTGGAGCCTGCTTCAGATTCTGTGTCTCCCTCTCTCTCTGCCCCTCCCCTGCTTGCACTCTCTCTTTCTGTCAAAAATAAATAAACATTACAAAAAATTAAAAACAGTAAACTTAAAAAAAAATCTTAAAAAATAAGAATACACAGGCACCAACATGTATGGGGTTGAGGTGGAGGACTCTGTTGCATAAGGAGAGATGATAAGTTCCTATCTGGGCATACACAATTTGAGATATCTGTGGGATGATTAGGTGGAGATGTCTTTTAGGTGGTACCTTATTCTAACTGGAGTTCGAGAGAGAGGTTTCTGAGTTAGAAACAGATTGGCATGTAGGTAGTAATTGAATTTTATTTATTAGTTGGCTTAGGGAGGAAGAGAAATGAGAAGAGTAGAGGAAGGGGTCATACATGATCGAGTCAGAGAACACTAGATCTACATACTCACTCTCACTATAGTTCCTCTGCCATGTGTCTGTCTACTTTGCTGCTTTGGAGCTTCAGTTCCTCATATACAATGGGAAGAATAATACAATCTGTTTTATAGGAAATTGTGAAGATTGAGATCAGATAGGCCATATATATTGAACCACCACTCTATCCTTGGTACAGAGAAAATTTTTTCTTACCTTCTGAGATTACATGTGTACACATACACACACCTACACCCACAGATCACACATGGGTGAGTGAGAGCAAGTGTGTCTTTGCTAGGTACATAGGCACTGAAGCCCTTTCACATGAATTAACTCCTTTAATCTTCACAATCCAATAGAGTGGATGTTGTCATTGGTAAAGAAAGCAGGGTGGTTAAAAGTTTAGATTTGAGTCAGACTGCCTGGTTTCAAATCTTCCCATTTTTACAACAGTTATTAAGTAGGTGGGTAGTAGGTACACGGATAGGAAGCAGCAGAGTTTGGATTAAAACCCAGGCCATCTGAGTACGTGTTTTTGGCTCTAGGACGGTTCCTCCTGGTGCCAAGTCTTTTGGCTGCAGGGAAGGGGTTTTGGGATTACTTCTTTCGTCACTATTCTGAACTTTCCATGATTGACTTTTGTCCCTCCCTGGGAGTGGCTGATCTTTGGGAGGCAAATCTACTCATACTAATTTCTTAGAATGTTTCAATCTTTCTGGCCTAACATTCAGTTTAATAAGTATTTCAATCACCTTATCTTCAAAGGTTGCATAATTTTTATTTTCCTATTTGTATCATGATTTATTTAGGCAGGACTGAGTCTTTAATGAATTTCGCTACTCTCAGCCCCTGGCCAGCACTTCGCCTCGTACTTAGTATGCACTCAATAAATGCTCTAAGTATGAATGAACTAAAGAACCGCGGAACGGAGACGCAGATGGGGGTCAGACTGGAAGTTCCAAAGTTCGGGAGGGGACACGGGGGCGGGCAGTGACTGTCACATGACCAGGCGGGGCAAATCTTCTGTGCTCCGCGGCGCCGGGCGTAGCTCCTCCCTCTGCGCCGGTCACGTGGGGGCGCCGGCTGCGCCTGCGGAGAAGCGGTGGCCGCCGAGCGGGATCTGTGCGGGGAGCCGGAAATGGTTGTGGACTACGTCTGTGCGGCTGCGTGGGGCTCGGCCGCGCGGACTGAAGGAGACTGAAGGTAAAGCCGCCATGTCCGGGCCCGA